CACCTCTATTTTGCTATAAATACACCCCTTTTCCTTCACATTAAAACATCCCTTCTTCCATACTCTTAAGCTTAGTTTAGAATAGTATTTCTTTTATATTTTTATAGCATGTTTAGTCTCCAAATGAGGAGCTAAACTTCCATTTCTTGGTGTTGCTCTTGAAGCTTGTTGATTGTTAAAGTTGTGAGTTATTTTCTTAACTTCTTCCCTTGAATATTAATTATTCTCTTAATCTATCTATATATTAATGTTGGGGAGTGTTGCTAAGATGACAATTAGTTAACATCTCGACATTAGTTATAGTAGTATTTATTTTCTTCCTCTATATATTAATGTTGGGGAGTGTTGCTAAGATGACAATTAGATAACATCTTGACATTAGTTATAGTAGGATTATTCATATTTAACTTTCTTCCTTGAATATTAATTCTTCCCTTAATCTATCTCTATGTTAATGTTGGGGAGTGTTGCTAAGATGACAATTAGTTAACATCTCAACATTAATTACTACTAGAAACGTTCAACGAACCGATGGTTAATCGTTGATAATTTCACAAGTAAGTAACTTCGGTTTATTAATGCACGGTCGTGGTTAATAAACTTAAGAGGGATTAATTTTGTTGGTTAAACCAAAACCGTTGTGTTGAGGTTATCAATCTCAATTGATTTCATCAATGAGTTAAGAGATTAAATGCTACTATCAAGTCGGTATATGGCGGTGTTCTATACTTGACTAATAGTAAGGGTTATTAATGAACGGTCGTTGTTAATAACTACCCTCGATGAATTGGATATACTCCTCGATTGAGTATTCGAGAGGGGATAAGTTATAGATATAACAATGATCGACTAAAATATATATCAACAAGTGGAAAGTAGCAATGCCAAGTCCTTTTTATCTTTGAATTAAATCTCACATAAGTTCTTCATCTTAGTATTTAATTAATTAAATTCCAACAATACCAACCCCCCCCCCCTTTTATTTACTAGTTCATAAAAAGAGAATTATTCCTTTCCCTGTGGATACGAACTGTACTTCACTATACTACGTATTAGTGCTAGTATTGAATTTATTTTGAGTGCACACACGACAAAGTGCACGTCAGAATCTTCCGTTGGGTACTCCAGCATAGGAAGCTTGCAAAACTGTCTAAGGGTTAGGTCTTCTGAGTGACAACAGAAGGTCTCACAGAGAGGCTTTCGCACAGAGGGCTTCGAGCACTTCTGTCCAGAGAACCTGCAACAAAGAGACAGCTTCAGAGAGCCTTGAGCTCTTCTGTCAAGTAAGTTCTCAACAGAGGGTCTGAAGGTCTTCTGTTCAGTAAATGTTCAACAGAGGGCCTAGAGGTCTTCTGTCAGTCGATTACTCTAGAATGCTTACACTTAGAAAAATTCTAATACATCAATTCTAATGGGGGGTACTCTAATGTTCTAATTAATCTAGCATCATCAAAATCTAAATACATTTATTCCTTACAATTATATATTTGATTTTGGGTCAAAAACCAAGCCAGGAAAAAAGTGAAGAATTAATGGCACAAATATTACCCATAAGGTTTTAAAGGGCAAAATTATAACCAATTTAAAATTCGACCAAAAAGTGAGTTGACCTCTTTGACGGGCACTTTGTCACGGTGCGTCAAAATAATATTCGATACTAGCACTTATACATAGTATAGGTGAAGTAGAGTTCGTATCCACAGGGAAAAGAATAATTCTCTTTTTAATAAAACTAGTAAATAAAAAGGGGGGGTTTGGGATTGTTTGGAATTTAATTAATTTAAACACCAAGATGAACAACTTATATGTAATTTAATTCAAAGATAAAAAGAACTTGGTCTTGCTACTTTTCACTTGTTGATATGTTTTAGTCGATCATTGTTATATCTATAACTTATCCCCTCTCAAATACTCAATCGAGGAGTATATCCAATTCATTGAGGGTAATTATTAACAACGACCGTTCATTAGTAACCCTTACTATTAGTCAAGTATAGAACACCGCCATGTACTGAATTGATAGTAACATTTAATCTCTTAACTCCTTGATGAAATCAATTGAGATTGATAACCTCAACACAGCGGTTTCGGTTTAACCAACAAAATTAATCTCTCTTAAGTTTATTAACCACGACCGTGCATTAATAAACCGAAGTTACTTACTTGTGAAACCATCAACGATTAACCATCGGTTCGTTGATCGTTTCTAGTAGTAATTAATGTCATGATGTTAACTAATTGTCATCTTAGCAACACTCCCCAACATTAATATAGAGATAAATTAAGGGAAGAATTAATATTCAAGAGAAGAAGTTAAGAAAATAACTCACAACTTTAATAATTAACAAGCTTCAAGAGCAACACCAAGAAATGGAAGTTTAGCTCCTCATTTGGAGACTAAACATGCTATAAAAATATAAAAGAAATGCTATTCTAAACTGAGCTTAAGAGTATGGAAGAAGGAGTGGAAATTAGTGAAGGAAAAGTGTGCTATTTATAGGTGTTTTTCAACACCTTTGGCCAGGTACCCGACCGGATAAAGTGCCCACCCGACCGAGTACCGGTCCAAATCAAATATCTTCCACGTTCCAGGGTTCTTCAGCATGTCGGATTGTCCCCGGTCAAGTCTCACCCGATCGAGTGAGGTATAGGGCCCGACCGGGCCAAGCAGTTTCCTTGCTATTTCGGATTTCACTTCTTACCCGACCGGGTGAGAGGTTCTACCCGGTCGGGTTTTAGCTCCTGGGTAGTCAAAAGTCCTTTTTCTTCACTTCAAAGTCTTCCTTTCCAACACCATAATTCCTAACTCTACTTCACAACTCACAAATGAAGATTTAAAATACAATTACAACTAAAATCACACAAATGTTTACAAACTAAATAAAACGATAAACAATCCACACAAATCAAATATAAAAACATACATTTATGCACTACTAATTAGTGCATATCACTCTTCTAATAATCCTCCTAGGAAGGATCGAGATGTCTTCTCCAACTCTTCTTCGCTCATCACTTCCTCGCATCAGGACATCCATGGAGGCTATCAACAAGCTTCTCGCATAAGGTCGTCCCTGCTTCTCACCTTCATCATCGACCATGAGTCCACCATGCGACGTCATCGAAGCTGACGGAGACCACCAGTGTGATGCCATCGAAGAAGACGGGGATCACCGGTACGAGGGCGACGGTCAGCGACGGAGACCGTCTGCCACGACGATGCCAGCTTTATCTTTTTCTTTGCTGCTTCTCTTCACCGTCTCTGTGCTTCAAATCTATAATCGATTTCAGATTTGTGATAGCTAATTGTCCTAAAATAGGTTTATAGGGGTGGAGTGGTGGCTGTTGGGGCTAAGGAGAGTTTCATAGGGGCTGGGGAGAGGAGGGCGGTGGTTCTTGGGGCGAATCCGGTTGTGGCCGGCGCTAGGCAGGTACACTGTACGCGGCAGGGCGGCACTGGTGAGCCGTGGAGGGGAGCAGGGTGTTGGTCGGAGATTTTGACGGAAATCAGTTGGAGCAATGGTGCTGGGTTTCGAGGTGTTGGGTGTTGGGGACTTATGATGGGGGCCATGGCGGGTCTCAGAGCAGACTGGGCGGGTAATGAGGTTGTGTAGGCTGGCGGCGGCGTTTGTGTGGCGGCGGCTATAGTGACACTGGTGGTGGCTACAGTGACACGGGCGGTGGCTATAGTGACTCGGGTAGTGACTATAGTGACACAGGCGATGGCTTTAGTGACACGTGTGGTGGCTACAGTGACACATGCAGCGGCTACGGTGACACGAACGACAACTACAGTGACATAAAGTTTAATAGTGACATACAAATCTGGTAGACACTATGTTTTTCCAAATATATGATCTTCTTGATCACTTTTTTGTCCCTTTTTAAAAGTGGTCACTTTTTTTGTAGTTGGTTCAAAATTAGTAATATTCAAATAAAAACCCCAAAAGTGAACCCAAATCTCATGTGGGGAAGGCCTGGTCTGGTTCTAGACCAGCCAAGTTTGGTTTCTGGAAAGTATAGAATGAACCATAATTGATTTATCTTGTTCAGGTAATCAGGTCACATTAGGGGTGGATTCGGGTCAGGCCACCCGACCCGTGGACCGGCCCGCTACTGTGCGGGACCTGGTCGGGCCTAGGCCCGGGGGCGGGTCCGGGCTCGGGTCTTACATTTGGCGAACCGGCCCGGCCAGGTCGGGCCCGGGTCTGGGCCAAATTGATTTTTTTTTTCATTTTTTGGGGTTCCACCCAGGTTTGGCTTGATGGTTAGGAGGGGTTTGGGGGTGGGGGTTAGGAAAGCCAAAAAAAACGCAGGCCCGGACCGGGCCCAGACCGGACCCGGTGGCTACCCGGGCCGGTCCCGGGTCCACCAATTCTGAACCGCCCAGGCCTAGGCCCGACCCGAATCCACCCCTAGGTCACATATTAGTTCTCAAGTCGAGTCAGGGTCGACTTTTACACCCCTCCCGAAAACGGTATTAAAACAAAAGTAATGATATTTTGAAGGAACCAAAATTGGACCAGGCTTTGGACTAATTCCTATCTTGAATTTGAATTCAACCCGCCCCGACATGTAGGGGTGGATACGACTCCGGCTCGAAGAGGTCCGAGCCAAAACTAGTTGGCTTTTAACAAGAACCAGTCCAACAATAATAGTTGGAACCATAACCAGGGAGGGTTTACCATCAGTCCCATGTGGCTCAAATAAGGCACCAGAACCAACCAGTTCAGTCCAATTAGTTTTTTTTATTATGACCACAAGAAAGCAGCTGAAAAGAAGTGGGATGCATTGAAAAGGGGTGGAAATGGGGGACTTTGGGAAAAAATTAAACCCGAGATCGGACCGGAATCGGAACCAACCCGTGACCGGAATTATAGACCCCGTCTCGGGCTCCTGTATAAAAATGGCAGACGACCCGGGGAACGGAACTGGCCCGATCCAACACCCACCGGCATGGAACCAATTTCAAGACCATGTTCAGCCTGCTGCATTGGAATCTCGGATATAGTAAACTAGGATAAATAACCAGTACAAGTTGCTAATAAATGTTTTTCTTCCAAAGAATCAAGTCTAAAAAAGACAATACTTTTAACTTATTAAACTCGACTGCCTTAAACTATGGAATACCGAATGCATACCAATAAATGCTAAATGCAAAATAGTTGCTCTACTTCCTCCGAAATATATAGAGTAGAAACACTAGACGATATGGAATACCGAATGCATACCAATAAATGCTAAATGCAAAATAGTTGCTCTACTTCCTCCGAAATATATAGAGTAGAAACACTAGACGATATTTACAGTATCAGCAAGAGACCTTAGTATACAGCCCAGACCAGCTTTCTCGGTCAGCTTTTCATGAATTCTTAGGCACTGATCACAGGTGGGGCGGTCCCCTGTGGATAAGCCTCTGTAGAGATACCTACAAATGACACAACAATACCCAACTATAAAACTCTGTATATGCAAATACTCTATGTAAAATACTGTGTTATGAAATACTCTTATCTGTTTATGATGCAATATCCAACTTTGGCAACTAATATGCAAATTCCAAATACCGTGCTAAGTTAACAACTATTTTCTTTATCTGCATTTCATAATCAATTCTTTAGTCTTCGATATCCATTCCAGGCCATCTTTAGTATTTCATATCTTATTATGGTTTAATGGACAAAGTGTGTCTTTACATGGACAGCATGAGGTCTAAATGCAAACACTTCTCTTTATTAGACAACACAAGAAAAGTAAAGCTGATTGAAAATTATATGCAAGAAAAGTAGACAAAGTATGCACAAATAGCTAAGATCTGATCTTGTCATATACAGAAATAGCTTACTAATTAGTGAAACACGAATAACTAACAACAGCATTTGGGATGTAACTCGGTGCCACAATAAAACCCGTTCAATATTATAATTATTACTAATATATCAAAAAAAATATTACTACCTTCGTGACTTCATCCCACTATCTTTAGGAGTTGGGATATGAGGAAGTGGCATGCATATTAAGAAAAACTGGTATTATGTGGTTGATATTGAATTTGCAATATATGAATGAATTTAAACCACACAAAAATTACCACATAAGGAGTACTATTATTACTGTTGTTATTGCTAGTACTATTATTAATATATCCAAGAAATAAAGATCGAATTGAAAAAAAATCAAGCCGAAGGAAACACATCAATTCCAAAGGAAAAAGAAAACCCCCTAGGATTCCACTGGTCTGCCCATTCCATTTATCCTTCCTATTCATTCCCACAACGCAGAGAATCATGGTGATACTGCATAACACAATCATATATGTGCACCGTGAGTCCATGATGTTTTACACAATCATAAACTATCTCAACTCATTGCCATATCTTGATAAGCAAGCTCATTAAACAAAGGGGAAACGTTCAATAGGTACACCTTTGCGGGATCAAAAGTGCGATTTTTCCCTTATCTTTTTAGAACCCTTTGGACATGTAAACCTTTTCTATCCCTCACTTTTGAGTTAAGAGTTTAAATATAAAGAGAATTGCTTAAAGCACGAAGTCTTCACGTTAAGCTCTCCACGTTGGACTTTTATGTTCAAAAAATACTACACTTCTTTGGAGATGACCAAAAAGTTCACTTCATTAGTTATTACAAAATTTGCTCTGTATTTTCATCACTTTAGCATTGTTTTGGCACATTTAGAGCCATTGTATCTTAAATCCAATGCACCTGATTCATTCTCATTTGTCACATTTGATCCCCTAATCAAACGGTCAAACCCAATTGAGTAATGCAAATGCTGGCTTGCGAATAAGACTACTTGGTAAATTAGATAACTCTAGACCATGTTATTTCAATGAAAGCAATCTCAAGAATAATCCTGCTAAAAATGTTCTCCTAACTCTCCTACCACTCATGGCTACATTTCTTTCATACTTCCTCATTGAATTTGGTGAAAAGCATAAACCGTATTGTAGGCTTGCCAAAATATGCATTATTATGTTCAGATGTTGGGCACATACAAATAAAGACTAAAGTCTTCTCTAATGTAGGTTTATAAATTGTTTTGACATTCAAATTCTTTATGTTTGATTTATCATGACATTCAAAATCTCCTCATTTCATTTTGTTCGCTTCTTACTTAGTTACTTGCGCTACAATAACTCTTTCATGGAGGAACTAACTTAGAAATAACACAATATACCATTTCCGCACTTTGAAAATCTACCAAACTGCTGGGTACAAACCTCTACAAACTGATCATTCTTATGTTGTCCTAGTTGTTCTCCCCACATTTAAAGTCATCTTAGCCTTTTTTTTGCTCAAAAAAAAGGAAAGAAAGGAAAATGGAAATAGTTTAAAAGAAGCAATACTTGGATCCTTGGTGCAAAGGAAGAGTGATGGGAACTATTAGTTTAGAAAAGTTTACATATAATATTGTGTATCATGTTCGATATTGTTTTTGTTGTTATTAAAAACATATCCTATATCTTAGCAGTACTAATGTAGAACAATTTTAACCACATAAAGTGGAAAGGAAGTTATGAAAAATGAAATTACTACTAAATACCCAAAATTGAAGGCAAAATGTGAGGAGTTTGGAGGAGTCCATGGCTCATCTACTTTCTTCCTCCCTCCCCCTTGAACCCCAATAAAAGAGTTAAACTCCTCTACTTTCCTCACCTTCTCCCGAAAGTCCTACAACCGAACACGGGTTACGTGTCATGCGTCATACTATATATTGCTTTCCTAGATCAGGTGTGTAACAGCAATGTTGTGTCCACACTTCAAGAATGTCATTGGGAAGATAACATAGTATACAAAAAAGAATAGAAATAACAGGAATATTCTTACTTCATAAGAATATCATAGTACTCAGGATCTAGAGAAGAGAACAAGCTATCCAAATCCTTTATAGCCATGATTGCCCTATGGACTACAATCCAATTTGCAGACTACAAATATGATCCTCTCAAAATTAGTGAATATATAATGGAAGATATACAAACTCAATATATACATATCAGTTTTTGTTGAATTCTCAGAAGAGAGAGACAAAAAAGTAATAAAAGATTCAACCTTGCATCTTTCATCTTTAGTCATGGGAGGTGAGCCTTCAAGAGCAGTTTTCAGAGCTTCCACAGGTTTATACCTAACAAAAATACAGATGTTTTAGATAACCAGAGCTTTTCCTATGTGTATGCAAATGTGGGAAAAAATGGAAAAGGGTCGAAAAAACTAAAGTTACTGTTTGAGTAAGCTTTCAATCTTCCGAGACTTATGCTCAATTCTTGTGATTATAGCTTCTGAATTGTCAGCCGCAAAGAATTCCGCCATTCACATGCACCCTAGCTCTCTTTCTCCCTCCCTCTAACTTTCTCAATATCTGCATTATGTGGTGTAGTATATGAACAATAATGCATAGGAACCAATTTAGAATCGGATTCGGTGCTCTACTTGAATAATCATATTTCTTATTTAGTGGTGGGTCAAGTATTTAAGTTTCAGGGGTTCAGAATTACTTTAACGTTAGAATTGTATGATGCAACAATTATACTTCTACCCATGTATGATGTATCTTTTCCGACAAAAAAACTAGTAAATGGAGAGGCACAGGGTAGAAAATTAAAAGCAGGCAGTGAATAAGCACTGTATGAAAATACACATTGCTAAAAAACCTAAATTATATGGAACTACACACAACTGCCAACATAACTACATAAGAACCACCCTTGGCTGATTCACATATTCAGCTAGAATGAATAACATCAATTGCAATTAAATGTGAAAATTAGTTACGTTTAAAATCTGTCAATGGCCCTTTAGACTGGATCGAGTTTAAATACATTTAAAGTTTTAAACTAAATCATAAGCAATCTATCAATCTCTACCGTATGGACAATGGCAGATCTAGCTATTTCATCCAGTGTGGACCAAAAAAATACCATTTTTTTGTTTAACAAAATCAAATACAAGTAACACATCACAATAACTCTCTACAAGTTTTCACTTTTTCATAGACTGATAGGGCTTGATAATGACATCATTCTCAATAGTAAAAAGGATAATCTTCTTGAAAAAGTAAAGTTAAACAAATTCACATTATGTGTGGCTGATTCTTTTTAGCAACAAAGTTTATCAAATATCACAAATAAATTCAAAGAGTCTTTACAAAGATCTTAACAAAAATTCTTTGTTTATAAAATTGTATCCCATGAATAAATCTAAAATGGCCCACAAATATTATAGGGAATAAAATTGTTATAATTTATAACACATGAATTGATGAATATCACGTGCAATGTGCAGTTGATTCATCATTCATATACTAACTACTAAATCCATGATTTTTTAAAAAATATTAACAATAATAAAAAATAAAATAAAAAACTTGATTTTAATTTGGCCTGAAGCAGGCAAGTCGGAATTCACGGCAGATGAAGAATAGGGCCAGTCCTGTATGTTTGAAAGCCTAACGGTGGATATATGGGCTAAATCTTTAAAAAAAAATTGTAAAATATTGTTGTATCTAAACTAACTTGTATAATTATAATATTTCAAGATCTTTATGATAAAAAAACACTTAAATTTGTTAAATTAAACATAGTAGAATCACCAACCAAGGCCTATCTTCACTTTCCTTATTTTTCATGTTTCTATTGTAGTAGGCATTTCAGAAATGTCTAGACTTAGCATCAAAAGGATAATTGAGTTGTGTTTCTCTAATTGCACCTTTTCAATTACAATATCTCTTGTTTTGACATCTAGATTCCTCCAACCGGCAGGATCGTAAATATCAAAAAATCAAAGACCAGTAATTGAAGCTGATACAGTTGATCCATCCAAATGATTTTTTTATTGCTCTCTACCAATATTATCAACTGCCAAATTTTCCTCTCTCATGACATGATCATTTTGAACTGTCTCATTTTCGGTATCTAAATCATTTTCTCCTCTCAGTTCTCATCTTGAGGAGGGCATTCGGAATTTGAATTCTTCACACAAACAAACTTTTCTACGGAGTATTAAACATTTTTTACTTGGGACCACTTTCTCTAATGCTCTCTTATTATCCTTCTTTTTCTCCCATCCAAATTCAACCATTTTTATTACACCTTGAATTAAATAAATTTATAAATTTTATTATAATTGAAAACTTTAATCTAGAAAAAAAAAAAGTTATAACACCAACACTCAAACCAACACTCAATAGATAACTAATTAACTATCAAGAATTAAGCATATGAGCTAAAAATTTATGGATGATCAACATCCAACAAATCAATTAATTAAGAAATACCAAATTATACAAGTATAAACATATCCACAACCAAGAATCAGAATCATCAATCATGAATGGAATATTGGTATCAATTAATAAAGGTATACACTAACCAACTAAAATACTAAATTAAAAAATAGGAGACCACGGAGGAGGCCGGAATCACCTGAAGATTCTAAAGGCTGTCGCTGATTGGCTTGATTGGTGAGGGGCTGATGCACACAGGCAGTGAAGGGCTGAAGGCGACTCTGCACCACGCCTGAAGGAGGGTGAGGCCTGAGGATTGAGGAATAAGGAATTGAAGAAGTCCAGCAGGCGGCCAAACTGCCAACCGACAAGCGTCGCCGCGTCGCCGGTAGCTGTTCCTCAGTTCAGATTTCGTCAATGTCGCTGCTCGGCTTTTCCGTTAAATCGTGCCAAAATATATGGTACGCTGTACCGCGATTAGGCATAGACAGGTATTTTTGTAATTACTTGCAAAGGGAGGCTGTTAATTAAGGAGAATGGTAGCTACTTGATTTATTTTTCGGGCTTCGGTTCTTCCTCCTCTGATTTATTACTCTTCCCATTAGCTCTTTCATTTTTTCTTTTTTCATTTCATTAAATTTTTCATTTTTTCTCTTCGTCTCCAAAAAAAGGCCCGTGTACTAACCAAAAAAGGTAAAATAAGCTCTTATTTAGGAGGTTTTGTCCGGCCGTCGCCATTTGGAGTAGTTCCCGGTGGAATTTTTTGATGAAATTTTTTTAGCATCTTATTCATTAAGTCCAGTTTACTCATACCAAATTTCAGCAAAAACTTCAATCGGGAAGGCATTCAAATGAATTCTTGATAAATAAAATGCTCAAAAAATTTCATTAAAAAATTCCACTGGGAACCACCCCAAATTACGACGGTCGGACAGAACTTCCTAAATAAGGACTTATTTGACCTTTTTGGTTAGTACATGGGCTTATTTGCACTTTTTCCCCCGTTTGTTCGTAGCTTCTTCTTCTCTGTTTTTTCTCTTTTTTTTTCTGCTTCTCTTTTTACTCTTCTTTTAATTTTGAAATTTTAATTTTTTCGAATTTTAACATCTTTTCCTTTCTTCTGCTTCAGTTTTTCTTTGTTTACTTTTCCTTTAATTTTGAACTTTAATTTTTCTAATTTTCTTTCTTCTGCTTTTTTTTCCTTTTTATATACTCCGGGTATGACTTTTGTCTCCGCTTCTCAAATTTTGAACTGTTGTAAAATCCTGGGAATAACATGTGTGTGAATTATTCATCCTTGTAAGCAGCATACTCATTAGGACACCAAGCTTTTCCTGATCCTTGTAATGATCCTTGTAACCTAGTTAGAACAGGTGGTTTAATATGCTATTGCCACCAAATCTGTAGACTCATCAAATAAGTGACTCATCATCAAGCTCAACCAGTATAAATAGTTGCTTGATGGGGTCCTGTAAATAAATTCAAGCAATTTAGAGAATTCAGAAGTTTCAGAGATTAAGAAGTTATTTAGAGTTTATTATCAATATATCTATCTCTTAAATCTGGTCTTCATCTTCTTCATTTCACAACACGTTATCAGCACGAATTAGCTCAAGCATCTTCAAGAAATCATCTTCCTGCAGTAAATCATGGCAAACATTAGCAAACGAGAATTCGACGTCCTTGATCTGTCCGGTCAAAAATATTTGGAATGGAAAGTTGATGCTTTAGCACATTTGAAAGCTAATGGTCTTGAAGACACTATTGAGGCAAATAAGCCGTCATCTGCCCAAGACAAAGCGAAAGCTATCATTTTCCTCCGTCACCACCTCCATGAAAGTCTCAAATCTGAATATCTTTTTGTTGATGATCCAAAAGAATTATGGGACAATTTACAAGAGAGGTATGGCCACCAACAAAAGGTACTTTTACCAAAAGCTCAGTATGACTGGATCAATCTAAGATTCCAGGACTTTAAATCAATCAGTGACTATAATTCTGCTATGTTCCAAATAACATCCAAACTTAAGTTATGCGGACAAAAAGTCACTGATGCTAATATGTTGGAGAAAACTTTTTCCACTATGCATATTTCTAATAAGCTGCTTCAACAGCAATATAGAGAAAAAGGTTTTAAAAAATACTCCGACTTAATATCGGTATTATTGGTAGCTGAGCAAAATAATGACCTTTTGATGAAAAATCATAATCTGAGACCCACTGGTTCTAATCCTTCAGCTTATGGTCCATCTGACCATAATTTAGCCACTGAATCAAATGCAACACACAGTGGCAGTAGAAGGCATTTTAAACGTGGGCATTTTAATGGTCATAAAAACAAGTCACACCGAGAATACAAACAGGTCGAAAGACCAAATTACAAGGGCAAGGGCAAACAAAAAGCCCATCAAACAAATCGCCCTACAAAAACCTCGGTGAAGACGACTTGTTACAAATGTGGCATGACGGGACACTGGGCTAACAAATGCCGTACTGCAAAGCATCTTGTGGAGTTATTTCAAGCTTCCATGAATTTGAACAAAGGCAAAAATGTGGAAGCGAATTATGTCAATGATACAACTCCATCTCTGCCAAAATTTGACGTGTCCGATTTCTTCGTGGATGACGCCATTATGGACGATGCTTTTGCCACTAATCTAAATGACACAAAATAAATTATAGGACTTTCATGTTGTAAATTATGTATTTTTCTTTCGTATCCTTTATGTTGTTATCATAAATAAATTATGTAATATATGTATTTTAATGTTATATATGATGCATAATTTGTGTTACTTGCATATCAAACTTATGCTTATTTATATATATTGAAGATATGGATCACTCAAGTGATAAAGAACTATGTCTGATAGACAGCGCCACAACGCACACCATTTTGAGGAATAAAATCTGTTTTTCTCAAATGACTTTAGTTGAAGCTAAAGTCAATACAATATCAGGTGTTGCGAACCTCATTGAAGGCTCTGGGAAAGCATATGTGATGCTCCCTAATGGGACAAAAATAATTATAAATGACGCTTTATACTCCAGCAAATCGTGGAGAAATTTATTAAGTTTTAAAGACATGCGTCAAAATGGTTATCACATAGAAACCATGAATGAAAACCAAAAGGAATATCTTTGTCTTACGACAACCAAATCTGGCACTAAATATATTTGTGAAAAAATGCCAGCTTATTCCTCGGGACTATATTTCACTCATATTAGTCCATTTGAAATAAATTTGGTTTCTAACACAAAGTTAGATGATCAGAAAACATTCATGTTGTGGCATGACCGTTTAGGTCTCCCGGGCCATGTAATGATGCATAAAATCATTAAGACTTCACTTGGACACCCATTAAAGAATATAAGTGTTCCAATATCAAGGGATTTTCCTTAATTGTAAGGCCTGCTCTCTTGGCAAAATGATCATCAGACCCTCTATGAACAAAATTGTAACTGAATCACCTACATTTTTAGAAAGGATTCAAGGAGACATTTGTGGGCCGATTGCCCCTCCATGTGGACCATTTCGATATTTTATGGTGTTGATTGATGCTTCAACACGTTGGTCACATGTAAGTCTTTTATCGACTAGAAATTTAGCATTTGCTAAACTCCTTGCTCAAATCATACGATTACGAGCTCATTTTCCGGATCATTCTATAAAGAGAATCCGACTTGATAATGCAGGAGAATTTACTTCCCAATCATTTAACGACTATTGTATGTCGATTGGGATTGATGTGGAGCACCCTGTTGCTCATGTCCATACACAAAATGGTCTTGCTGAATCTTTGATTAAACGATTACAATTAATCGCTAGACCATTATTAATGAAGTGTAATTTACCTTCATCAGCTTGGGGACATGCTATTTTGCATGCAGCAAATTTAATTCGGCTTAAACCGACTGCATATCATGAATATTCCCCAATGCAATTAGTTACTGGACAAGAGCCAAACTTAGCACACATAAAAATATTTGGTTGTGTTGTTTATGTTCAGATTGCCCCACCTCATCGTACAAAATTGGGTCCTCAAAGAAGGTTGGGAATTTATGTTGGATTTGAATCTCCCTCAATAATAAAATATCTTGAACCGATGACTGGTGACTTATTCACTGCACGATTCGCTGACTGTCATTTCAATGAGACAGTATTCCCAACCTTAGGGGGAGAAACTAATAAATCGGTCCCAAGTACGAAAGAAATAACATGGAATGCAACAGGATTATCACACCTTGATTCTAGATCAAATATATGTGAGCAAGAGGTGCAAAAGATAATCCATTTACAAAATGTTGCAAATCAGTTGCCTGATGCATTCACAGATGCAAAGAAAGTGACAAAGTCACATATTCCTGCTATGAATGCCCCTGCCAGAATCGAAATTCCAGCCGAGAATTTTGAAAAATCTCTTGCAAATGATTCTTCTATACGCAAAAAGCGTGGCAGGCCCCTTGGATCAAAAGACATAAAACCAAGAAGAACTAAAAGGCAGGAATTGATCTGTGATGCCAAAGATGTTCATCCTTCTGAACAAGAAAATGAACAATTTGAAAATACTGGCATAGAAAATGATATTGACAAAACAAACATCTCAAATAATGATCCAACTTCCTTAAATGAGGAAGATATTCCAGATACTGATAGAAACGTTGATAATTATGAAATTTCAATAAATTACGTTTCTACTGGAATGCAATGGAATCGAAAAGATTTTGGTATTAATGAGATATTTGTCTATGTCGTTGCCACAAATGTTATGAATGAAAGCAATGACAATGAGCCAACATCAATTGAAGAATGTCGGAAACAACACGATTGGCCAAAATGGAATGAAGCTATTCAGGCTGAATTAAAATCACTTGAAAAACGTGATGTTTTTGGACCGATAGTCCCTACGCCAAAAGGCGTAAAACCTGTGGGTTTTAAATGGGTATTTGTGCGTAAACGCAATGAGAAAAATGAAATTGTTAGATATAAAGCCCGACTTGTTGCCCAAGGTTTTTCTCAAATGCCGGGAATTGATTATGAAGAAACCTATTCTCCCGTAGTTGATGCAACTACATTAAGGTTTCTCATTGGCATGTCTGTTTTTGAAAGGCTGCAAATAATCCTAATGGATGTAGTGACCGCCTATCTATATGGTTCACTTGATACAGACATTTACATGAAAGTTCCCGGTGGATTTAAAATGCCTGAAGCTTATAGCTCGAAACCTCGAGACATGTTTTCCATTAAATTACAAAAGTCATTGTATGGACTAAAACAATCTGGACGAATGTGGTATAATCGTCTCAGTGAATACCTTCTCAAAGAAGGATATAAGAATGATCCGATTAGTCCATGTGTTTTCATTCGGTGATCAAATTCGGGATTCGCCATAATTGCAGTATATGTTGATGACTTAAACATTATTGGAACTCCCGATGAAATTGAAAATACTGCAAAATATCTTATGAAAGAATTTGAAATGAAAGATCTCGGGAGAACCAAATTTTGTCTCGGGCTTCAAATTGAGCATTTGAAGAATGGAATTTTCATCCACCAATCCAATTACACCGAGAAAGTGTTGAAGAGATTCTATATGGACAAAGCTCATCCTTTGACTTCACCAATGGTCATTCGATCTCTCAACATACACGATGATCCATTCCGTCCCCGAGAAGACGACGAAGAAATACTCGGTCCCGAAGTACCATATCTGAGTGCTATTGGAGCTTTAATGTATTTAGCTAATAATACTAGACCAGATATTGCATTTTCTGTAAATTTATTAGCTAGGTACAGTTCATGCCCAACAAGACGTCATTGGAACGGGATCAAGCACATATTTCGTTATCTCCGTGGTACAGTTGATCTCGGCCTATTCTACCACAAAGATACAAAAGCTTCTTTAATCGGATATGCAGACGCTGGATACCTATCAGATCCTCAAAAGGCAAAATCACAAACCGGGTACGTATTTACTTATGGTAATACCGCAATCTCTTGGAGATCTATGAAACAGACGTTGACAGCTACATCATCAAATCATTCGGAGTTAATTGCACTTTATGAAACCGGGAGGGAATGCGTGTGGCTGCGATCTATGATTCAACACATCCAAAATGAATGCGGTATAAAGCCTATTACTTGTTACCCGACTGTGATCTATGAAGACAACACCGCATGCATAGCTCAAATTAAAGAGGGCTATATCAAAGGAGACAGAACAAAACACATATCACCAAAATTCTTCTCTACTCATGATCTGGAGAAAGATGGGACGATCAACATTCAACAAATCAGATCAAGTGAAAATCCAGCCGATCTCTTCACCAAATCTTTACCCCCGAAGAAGTTCACAGAACTTGTACAGAAAATCGGCATGCACCGCCTTCAAAATTTATGTTAATTTCAGGGGGAGTATTTGAATGCACTGCACTCTTTTTCCCTTCATCAGGTTTTTATCCCACTGGGTTTTTCCTGATAAGATTTTTAACGAGACAGTACATCCAAATACAACGACATTATATGTCGTAATCTTTACCCCTTAACTTTCACACTAAATTTTCATAATAACAAAATAACTATTGAAGGATGAACATTCAAGGGGGAGTGTTGTAAAATCCTGGGAATAACATGTGTGTGAATTATTCATCCTTGTAAGCAGCATACTCATTAGGACACCAAGCTTTTCCTGATCCTTGTAATGATCCTTGTAACCTAGTTAGAACAGGTGGTTTAATATGCTATTGCCACCAAATCTGTAGACTCATCAAATAAGTGACTCATCATCAAGCTCAACCAGTATAAATAGTTGTTTGATGGGGTCCTGTAAATAAATTCAAGCAATTTAGAGAATTCAGAAGTTTCAGAGATTAAGAAGTTATTTAGAGTTTATTATCAATATATCTATCTCTTAAATCTGGTCTTCATCTTCTTCATTTCACAACATGAACTCCTATTTCTTTTCTCATTTTCATGCAATTCTTTCAACAGTTCATATCGAATGGCAAATCAATAAAAACATATACTTCTCTCACTCTTCAATTAAAAGTTCCAACCTTCTAAATAATTATGAGTACATCATTTAAATTAAAGTGTATTTAATTTAAAGAATTGTTTGGTGTGAAATAAAGAATTGGTGTTTCTTTATGTTATACTGATATGAACAAACTCAATGATATGAATATGTTTTGATGCTCAACGAACAAAACTTACAATTTTCATATCAATGCTCATCTTGTAAGTTATATATGCTCATTTGTATAGGTCCGATGTTCATTAAATATATTTAAATGAGCATATTAGAAAATTTAAATGACCTTTTGAATTTTTCAATGCTCATTTTATAATATATGTATACTCATTCAGAACTAATGTTATGCCCATTTTCAAATGTCATATCAATACTTATGAAACTAATGCTCAACAGAATAGGTATCATGCTCATTAAAAGTACATAAATGCTCATTTAACAAAAACCATTATTTTCATCTCAATAGAAGATGTTTGATGCTCAATGAAAATATCGTGTTGTTCAACTAACAAATCAACTAAAAAATTCATTAATGTTCATTTTGTAAATTACGTATGCTCATCTGGTACTGATCTTATGCTCATATATATTGGACTCCTAATACTCAACATAATAGGTGTGATGCTCATTACAAGTTCATCAATGCTCATTCACAAGAAATTGTGATTTTCATCTCAATAGCAGATGTTTGATATTCAATAAAATGTCGTGATGTTCAACAAAAAAAAAAACCTTTCGATTTTCATATTAATGTACACTTTGTAAGTTATGTATGCTCATTTGGTACTGATGTTATACTCATTTTTACAATGTCATATCAATGTATATTTCAAAAGTATCATATTACATTAGACTCGCATATTGAAATTAATAAGGGTGTATTATAGATATAATTTAATAAGTTTTTATAAAAGAAAAAATAAGAAAAAGAAAAAAAAATAGAAGATATGGAGCTGAGATCGTGATACTCATTAATAACCTCCTAATACTCAATAAAGTAGGTCAGATGTTCACTAAAAGTACACTATTGCTCATTTAGCGTTAGCCATGATTTTCGCTGAAATTACAGAAATGTCACCAAAAAAAATTAGACTATATCAGTTAAATGAGTTGTCTTTCTTAATTAATTGAGCCTTTTTTGTGGGCCTTGGTCAGATTCATTAAACTTTGTTAAATTTGGGCTGGAGCTTTAATTAAATTACCAATAGACCCGGATGTACGGTTCCCACCCGTACAACGGGGTGTAGGATATACGAACTCGTTAATCGTGAACCCCCGGTGTTACATATGGATATTGATCATGTCATTGTGTTACATTTCTTTAATTGGACTTTTGAAAAGTACATAGACTTTTGAATGCATACACGTTTTATAAAGGAACCTATAAAAAATTATATTGATTTCGTTCAAAAAAAAGGATTATATTGGTTTGCATAAATCATGGATAATTCAGACTTTTAAAAAAGTTCATGAAAAAGTCAATTAAATCCTCATATTTTTAAAAAAATTAATACAATACCTGAACTTTGTACAAAAGTTCAATTGAGTACATTTGCAGGTTACTTGCTATGTCCACAGGTAGGCCCGGGATATTGAAACCAGGAACCGAAAAAATGTCTGGAACCGAACCGATGTGAAATGGTTCGGTTCGGTTCCTATTTTTGGGGGTTAAAAACTTATCGGTTCGGTTCCTAATGTAAAATACTGGTTCGGTTCTCGGTTTTCATAAAAAACTATTCAAGAAACCGATATAGAACCGTTAGTCCAATCTTAGTGGGTTATCCGTATTTCGTAGTCCAAATTAGAAATAAAAAATAATAGGAAGTACAACTCGCAGCCCACTCGCAGCCCACAACTCCTTTAGTCCGCTTCAGACTTCATCGATCGCTTCAGTCTTCATTGAGTTAGGGGTGGACTCGGGTCGGGCCGCCCGGCCTGGTATTGTTTGGGCCCGGGCCGATACCTGGTCTTGGGGTCGGTTCGGGCCAACCGAAACCGCTCTAATCCCGGTGCGGGCTCGGGCCCCCTAAAATGCGAATCGGCCCGGGCCCGGTTCGGGCCTAATTTATTTATTTTTTGTTTTTTCAATTTCTTTTTGTTTCTACCGGGTTGGGCCGGGTGTTTTGGGGGGGGGGGGGGTTGGGGGTGAAGGGAGGGGGATCGGGGGGTTATTTAGAAAATCAAAAGAAAATAAAAAAAATAACATTGAACCGGAACCGGCCCGAACTGGCCTGGCCCGACCCGGAACCGCCGGCTACCCGGGCCAGTTCCGGTTCCAACATTCCCAAATAAAAGCCCGGCCTGGCCCAGGCTCGAACTGGAACCGGCCCGGGTCCATCCCTACATCGAGTACTACAAAATGGAGTATCATCCATTTTATGAAAGTTGTTGCTAAAAACTTATACAAAGTAGTTTTTCGTAATGACTCGAAGGATTGACAAAATGGTGATTGCCACACAAACTCTGGATGGCGACAACTAGTCCCTTTGTAAAATGACACTCTTGAGATTTTTTTACATATCAATTTAGTAAACTATTAATTAAATTATTATAAGCATTTGATTTTTCCCTAAATAATTATGAAATTAAAAATGCACATCTCAATGTTAAAAAATAAATTTTCATTAATTTTCTTTGACTTTTTCCAGTTAATAAAAAATAATTTGAATTTTCTCTCAAAAAAAAAAATTGAATTCAAGTAAAATTGAATTATTTGTGTAGACAACTAGACACTACGGATTAAAAATTTGTAGGGTTTTTCAGCCCAAGACTCGCAATTTGAACTTCAGTTTTCTTTTAACTTAGATATTTAATATAAAAGATCATAAAAGAATACTAGTATGAATCTTGTACATAAAAGTTGGAGCAAAAATCAAATAAACAATAACAATTCAAATTTTAATTTTTTTAGTGGATCCTCTTTTTTCTCACAGCTGACAAGGGGTGCAACCTCTTTTGTCTTTCTTTTTTACTATCAAGACTTCAAGAGCCCCTCGACTTTTAGCCCCTTCCATCCACTTTTTCATTTTGGTCCCAGACTCCCAGGCGTAGGAGTCTAATCATGTGGCAGCCAGGTGAACTGTGAACAATCACTCTCTTCGGAATTTGGAGGGAATGGAGGTAAACAAAATTGATTTTCCCTTTCTCACTGTGTTTGTCTTAATCTTTTGTTTTGGTCTGCCGCAATATTTATCTCATTCCATATATGGCTTTTTTATGTGGCGCAATATACTTCTTGCTTTACACACCCAACATCAATTACAAAGTTCCAATTTTTGTGTCGCCTTCTTTATCCCGCGTAGTCGGAACTGGGAAGTATCAAAAAAAGAGAGGACATGCATAACTTTTCTTGTAGAGGCTTTGAGTGAGAAACGATGAATTCAGTCATGAACACTAGAATATTATTACCACAGTACATTTCTGAACTATACGGAGAATATTGTTTTTCTGAACGGCCATTCCTCCCTCGAGTGAACATTGCCTAGCAGGAAAAGACAAAGTGACCACTTCTGGAAGTGATCCGGTATTTGGACGATCTATTATTCAAGCAAATACACATACTCCTACATATATACACACACCTATTACAAACAGTCCAACAATCAAGTACATGTCCCAATTGCTTTACGCCCTACTGGAACAAATGAAATACGGTTGGATTTTCCATTTTTATCCCGACAATGTAAGTAATTTCATTTTAAAAACGGTGCAAATGGTTTAAAATCAAATAAAATGTCTTATCAGAAAAGGGTAATGTAGAAAAAAGAGGTTGGTGTAGTTTAATAGCGGAAAGTGGGCATATTTGTTTCCAAAAAGCAAAATCTAAACTTCACTGGGCGGAGGGAGTAATTCATCTCTCATCAACATGCATTGAGCGGAAGGCTAGGGCATTACGCGTTAGCTTCATTTCCAGGAGCCCTATGGTAAGCAAGCAATGTGTCTGAACCAAAAGGATTGGAGTGATGCTGTCCGTACATTGCATAACCGACAACTGTAATAACGCAAAGAATGATGAATCTCACCCAGGCCTCGTAGTGCAACTGCAGAAAAAGATAGACAGTTATCAGCTCAGCTCTTTATTATTTTTAGGCTCAAATCCGTTTTTAGTCCCACAAATATAGTGCTTTAATGTTTTCGGTCACTACAAATTTATTTGTTTTTGTTTCTCACCCCTCTTACTTATGTTGTTTCTCTTTTTACTATCACACCAACCCAAGAAACCTCCGATTGAAGACCAAACACCATGACTAATATATTTCCTGTCTTTCTTTTTCAAGCCATTATAAAAGTACTTGAATTTTATTTCCAGTACTATTGAGACCATTTTAAAAATGTGAAATGATTGGTTTCGCCTAGTAGAGTCCAAAAGGGAATAAAAAGATGAAGTGAAAATAGTAGAGTTATACAAGTAACATTAGTTTCTATTCTAAACAAATATTGCTCCGGAGTTAGAGATAGACAAAAAAGAAAATTGTGCAAATTGCTGTGAAGAAAAAACTCAATATTCTTCAGAGATCTAAAACAAAAAGTGTTATACTTAAGCGGATGAAAAACATATTTAAACCTTATTTTTGTTCAGCGTCAATATGTGCAACAAATCTAAGACAAATTTCCATTGCATATTATCAGGAAAATGATTATATTTGATTTAGTCATGGGCAAACCTGCGCAAAAAGAAAAATGTTCAGGAAGATACAAACAGCTGGTACAATTGGAACACCTGGGCAAGAAAATCCTGGTGGGTCAGTATACACCTGCAAAAACCAGATCATGAATGCTCAGAACAAACTAGCAAGTTGCAGCAGCATTCAAACTCACTGTGTGCCAAAGAAATAGTTCAGAACTTCACATAATTGGATGGTCAATTTGTGAACATATATAAAACGGGAAACACTACATAATTTAATGAGTCAAGTAACAGAAACTGGTGAAAACATTATGGATCTACCTCACAAGGTCATCCACAACTATAGCTGTCTTTTACTCTTTTCTGTTACGTGGCATGTCTTACTGAAGCCCCAATGCCCTTTTTACAATCGCAATTTCTGTCATTTTGGGTCAATATTATCATGAATATAAATTTTTCTTGTTTATGTTCATTTATAGTACTCTTCCATCATTTGCAATGGAGCCAAAGATTCATTATTTTTTGGCTTGAGAATATGATGGAATAAAGCAAAATGGCTCACCAAACTGTCTGCGCTTCTTTGTTATGAAGCAGCGGTCAGTTCATGCAATTTTGGACACAATTTTCTTTATGGGTCATCCGGAAACAGTCTCTCTGTGCTTTAGTACAGGGGTAAGACTGCGTACATCCGACCCACCCCCCACCCCCGTAGGTGGGAGCCTTTGCGGCACTGGGGTAAATGATGATTGATTTTTTTTATTGTTCATTTATAGTACCCGTCATGATCATTCCATCTAAACTGCGTGTTAACTTCAGTCATGAAAATGACATTTAATTGAAGAACTTGAGGGTTACACACAAATAAACATTTTTTTAATCCTGAAATTTGAAGTTTAAGATCTTCACTGACAGATGTTCATTCTATCCAACTTTTAGCCCCAAGCTAGAACATAGAATTTGTTGAAGTAAATACAAAACAAAAAAGTAGATCAAAATCAACACTTGGAAAAACTGAATGATATTAAAGTTCAGGACTAAAAGTGGCCCAACTACAACACTTGGAGATAAAAAAAATGGTATTCTTTCCAAATGAATCCATACATTCAACTATCTCTACTGAGAAGATATACCTAATCCTACTGACATCCCCCCAATTACTTAATATTTTAAAACATACTAACCAAAACAAGATAAGGAGTGATTGAATTAACTTACTTGCCGGAAATGAAGAGCTGCTGTAGCAACTATGGCAGTCAGTCCAGCTACAGTCAAAAAAATAATTGAAGCACCAAAACGGTAAAAAACACCAGCGGCAAAGCCAGAACAGGCAAGTAAGATCAGGCAAATGATTTCTTCATCCTTCTTTGAAATTCGCACTGCAGAGACAGGACTTGCAGTCTTGTCCTTTAAGCGGAGAGATACCACACAAGCTGAAACAACAGAGTATCCTGTCTGCATCAAATCAATGCAATGTCAGTTGCATGCATTGATATCTTAGATAAAATGCTAATAATGCATTTATGATGACAGTCATGTTTATGATACATCTAGTGTCACACCCGTGACATACCAAGTTGTGTTGTAATTTCAGTTTGGCTTAACTATAAATAGTTATAAGTCATTTTCAAAAGGACAACATAAGTATAAATATCAATTATTGATATTAAGAGAACTCTTCTTGTCAGGCCGGCCTGACGGGAACCTCCGTCCGGCCGAGCCCGTTTGGGCACCTTCCCGGTGGAATTTTTTGATGAAATTTTTTGAGCATGTTCCTCATCAAGTCTAGTTTGTCCATACCAAATTTCAGCTCAAAATTCGATCGGGAAGGCATTCAAATCTTTTTTTGAAGTTGACTGCGTCAAAATGTACATATAAAAACGCAGTCAACTTCAAAAAAAGATTTGAATGCCTTCCCGTTCGAATTTTGAGCTGAAATTTGGTATGGACAAACTAGACTTGATGAGGAACATGCTCAAAAAAATTCATCTAAAAATTCCACCAGGAAGGTCGCCAAAAGGGCTCGGCCGGACGGCTCTCCCGGTCAGGCCGGCATGACATGATGATTTCTCTTGATATTAATTGCTGGAAGTAACTTGATATGAAGCGGGAAGAGCATGGGGCGGGACCAGGCTTGGGCCCACTTCCGTGGGCCAGTTACGGGCTGTCTTTATAATTATTTATTATTATTTTAAGTTAATGTTATGTTTTGGTTTGGGCCTTTTATTAGTAGAGTACTTAGTAGAGTAGTATGGGCCTAATTAGGATTTAATTAATTTGGGCTTGATTAGGGTTGCTTGTAGAAGGCTATTTATACCCCTCGCCAGGGTTCATTCTTATCATCGGAGAATAAAAGTTGGTTTAGCCTTTTGGCTCTGGGCAACGATATTTATTTATCGTTGATTATCTAGGCAAACGGTTCACCCCGTTGATCTTTATTTTTCTGTTCTTATCAATTGGTCCGACCTGCCGGATCCCGTCCCGCCGGAATGACAAGATCTCAGAACGAACGACTGACAGAATTGGAGGCCGAACAGGCCCTGATCAATCAAAAGCTTGACGCGCAAGGACAAAAACTTGACGCGCAAGGGCAGAAACTTGACTCGCAAGGAGAGAAACTTGATTTACAAGCTCAGAAACTGGAAGAACAGGCCGCCCAGCTTGCGGAAATCGCAGCCTCCCTGGCAGCGATCGCGAAGGCCATGGTGCCACCGGAGAAGTCTCCAAGCGTGACTGTCGAGAGCGACTCCTCCGCCCACGTCGCGACTGTCTTCCCCGATGATGGCGGATCGCGCAGCGCATCCACGACGCTACTTCCCTCGTTCGACGGCAAAGACCTGATTGGGTGGCTGGCGAGAGTGGAGCAGCAGTTCGAGCTCAACAGGACCCCACCGGACAGGCAAATTGCAGCGGCTAGGGTTTCTATGGAAGGGGCTGCCCTCTATTGGGTGGCTTGGTTGAAGGCGCGCAAACCCGACATGTCCTGGGAGGAATTTAAGCAAGCACTGGTGGCCAGATTTGATTCCCGATATCAGGGAAACAGGTTTGAACGGTTGTCGGGCGTCAAACAAATTGGATTGGTGGAGGAATACAATACCTTGTTTGTTCAACTGGCCAGCCAAGTTCTGGGATTGACCGACGATCACTATTTGGGATACTACATGAATGGACTGAAAGAATCCATCTGAAGCTCGTTGCGCTTATTTCGACCTAATAGTTTGAAAGAGGCCATGGAATTAGCTCGCGATGTGGAGTACAATCTGACCGTCCAGAATGGAGGAAGTGGCAGCCCGAATTATACTCCTTCCGGGGTACGTTCTAGCAGCTTTTTAATGCCAATCACGAGTCCTCCGTTGACTGCCAGTGGTGGCAGCATACAAGGAGCGAAAGGCAGCTTTGCGAAAGATAGTGGACAGCCTCCGGGGACGAAGTATAACACGCTCTCAATTCACTCGACTACCGCCGAAAGAGTTTGCAGAACTGCGGGCGAAAGGATTATGCTTTAGGTGCAAGAAACCATTTACACCAACACATGACTGTCCTTTTAAGCAACTGCGGGTAATGATAGCTGAGGAGGATGAAGAGTTGGACCTCAAGCATCATGAATTCTGTGAAATAACCGGCCAGGAGAGGGTTCCGGAAAGAGAAGAAGAATATTTCCAGTCTATACTATGTCTGGAAATTTCAGTCCCCGATCTGCGAGTTTTCAACCTTGAGGACAAGGTTATTTTAAGGGGGATGAATTGATATGAAGTGGGAAGAGCATGGGGCGGGACCGGGCTTGGGCCCACTTCCGTGGGCCAGTTACGGGCTGTCTTTATAATTATTTATTATTATTTTAAGTTAATGTTATGTTTTGGTTTGGGCCTTTTATTAGTAGAGTACTTAGTAGAGTAGTATGGGCCTAATTAGGATTTAATTAATTTGGGCTTGATTAGGGTTGCTTGTAGAAGGCTATTTATACCCCTCGCCAGGGTTCATTCTTATCATCGGAGAATAAAAGTTGGTTTAGCCTTTTGGCTCTGGGCAACGGTATTTATTTATCGTTGATTATCTAGGCAACGGTTCATCCCGTTGATCTTTATTTTTCTGTGCTTATCATAACTTCACTATATGTTTGAATGAAAACTCTCTAGGCCTCGGTCATTGATGAAGGTTGAGCCAATAGGGGTCCAAATCCACCAGAATGCCAAGCACCTGCGGATCTGGATATGCCCCCAAGTGGAAACCTAAATCTCATATACCCAGCTGAACTGGTTAAACCTACTCACATGGTTAGGAAGACTTTGCAAACCAAGATTTGGTCTTTATAATCACAAATTCACAATGCACACGGCAAAGGTTTAAAAGCTTCTGATATTATCTGCAAGGGCTACCAACCACTACGGCAGTAGATAGATACAAAATCTATATAGGAAAAGCGCCCGCCTTTTGTAATACTCGTATTGGCCCTATCTGTATCATTCTTCCTTCTCTTCACCTGGGGTCTAAAGACTTGGGTATGCTGTAATCCCTATGATGTCAAAACCGAACCAGAAGATCACCCGGGCAAGTGAACATGTCAAGGGTCAACTTGGACCTCGGAGGGTCAGCCTGGTCAACGGTGGATCAACGCGATCAAAATTGGCTAAAATGATATAACATAAAATTATATATCAAATTAAAGCCTTAAAGCAAAAAACTATGCACACTTATGCTTAATAATAGAAGCACATAATTATCATAGAAAACACAAGTAGTATTTTGAAACACAAGTTTTTAACAAATATCAAAATGCGTTTAAATTAGATGTACAAGATATGAACATAATAATCATGTACAAAATCTTAAAAAGATCGTACAAGTGTTTTTCCAATTACTTATGAGTATTAATTATACTCCTCCGTCCCTATTTAGCGTTTATGTGTACCTTTTTGGGACATTGCTAAATAAAGTCCTTTCCCCCTTTTGTAAAGAAAATCTTATCATTTTACTCGACTGCCTTCAAGTAACAATTACTATACAGCGCTAAGCAAAAATCTGATTTCCAATAACTTCATGAAAGTCAAACTAGTAATTTTTTTAACAGGCGGAGGTAGTGATTAATAATAAAAGTATTACCTTAAGCATGTTATTAAAGAAGGTATAATAGTCTTCAAAGAGGACGTCTATCACACTCGCCCAAGTAGCGAATTTGGCTTTGCATCAGTAAATGCAAGAAAAGCTCCTCGGTTCGAAACACACCTAGGGCGAAGAGTTTTAAAAGTAAAAGTGCGGTAGCAGCAGCAGACCAGTCTGGTCTCTCGGTCCCGGATTTGGGCTGCGTCGTAAGTGGTCTAGTGGTTTTGAGCAGATTTGCATTTTAAAAAAAAGTCACCATACAGCCAGACCGGTGCTCTAAGCAGGTCAGTGGGTTCTAGGTCGACCCACAAGTCTAGTAAGTAGTAACACAGCATAGTCCTTGGTAAAAGTTTGTAATAATTCTATTGACAATTTTATAATGAGACATGCCTAAAAACACACTCCATGTGTCTTACCTTTCTTGCTTTGACTTGGCATAGCTTTTATTTTAAAAAAAACTTGGGCAATTTGATATTGGAAAAACTGTCATGTAGGGCCTTATATTATCACCAAATTCTCAATCAAGCCCTTGTACTTAAGGAACACCCAAGAAGACATACAAAATTGTTACTAAACCTTAATTAGCACTTTTTGCAGGTTACCCGGTTCCTAGCCCACTTCATTCTCATTCTGTCATCTCCTACTCATTGCCACATCATCACAATTTCATTGCCACGTCATCTAGCTATTCCTATTTTATTTCTTTTATGCGTTAGTTTTTTCCTATTTCAGCTGACCCCACCCACCATCTAAGCCACCGCTATCACTGCTGGCAACCGGCTAATTTTAATTTGAAGATTATCTAGAAAAAAAGCACGACATTGGTGAAAATTTATTTGGTAAATTCTAGGAAAAATATGTGAAACCACTGCCGCTGGCCAATTTATTTTACTTTTGAGAAAATACTAGAAAAACTGTCCACAACTGTTGGGGCCACTTTTTATGAACTTTTTTAAGAAAATATCTGCAACCGCTGCTGCTTGCTGATCTTTTAGAAAAATTACCCGAAACTGCTACCACCAGTAACTTTTTTTAATTCTAGGAAACATATCCAGAACTGATTCAACCAAATTCTTATTTGAAATTTTAGGAATAAAACCTGCAACCAGCCAACCGCTACCGCCAACTATTTTTGGTGGAAAAAATATGCAGTCTTTCGAAAAATATGACTAATCTTTGTTCAATTAATTTAAATTTCTTTTCCTTTTAATCCCTACCCAACTGCCACTCCCCACCCCATCCCCTTACCCACTGCCACCCCCCCGCCAACCACTGTCCCCGGCGATCAGTGCAAAAGTCACAGGAAAAAGTTCACTGAACATTTTTACGTGCTTTCTTTAATGATATTTTGTTGA